TTGATTCATCTATCTATTCAAAAAATTGTGAATGAATACTGAATCTCACAGGATCTTGGCAAGAAACAGACAGCACATTCAAACTAGGTAGCTGAGGGCATTAGTTTAATGAAGAGACTATTTACAAAGGTGAGGGCTAGTTTAAAGGAAAGAAACAGGGGGTCTGGGCCTCAAAACAAGGAATGGGATTTCAGACATACACATACACGATTATTGATGGGACAAAAGGAGGAAGCATTAGCCAGAAACTAGAATTGCAGCTATAAAGCAACTTGTGTCAAAGTGAGGTCCCCGCCCCCCCCCAACACACACACTCACACACACACATATCAGCAGCATCACCAGGAACTTGGAAATGCAAACTAGGAGGCACCACCCCCAGACCTGCTGGGTCAGAAAGACTGAGGGTAGGGTCAGACAACCTGAGACAATGTGATTGAATTGTGGCTCCTAAAATGGCAAAACTATAAATGCAGTCACTTGAAATAACACAAAATAACTACTTCCAAGGCACAGAAAACGCAAAGAACCCCCCAAGGCAAAAACAAACTCAGCAACTGAATTGGGGTCAAGAAGAGGGATTAATATCTCATTCACCAATGAGAAAATTGAAACTGAAAAGGCCAATGACTCTGGAGAGAGAGAGACCAAACAAGAAACAGCAATCAAACAAGAATGATATTCTAAATAACAGTTCCTTTCTGATGGGCAGCTGGCTTCTAAAACCCTGGCTTCTGAAGCAACAACACGTGAACGCACGCCTGGTGCATTTTCAGACATGCCTCAAAATTCAGATAATCTCAGCCAAGAGATCAAAACAGCACATGTCTCGTTGTCAAAACGATCATAAGCTGCTACACTTCACTAGTGTAAATAATGAGTTACATTCACTAACTCTTAGCTCATAATGATAACACAGGCTGGTATTCACAGAGGCCCTGGGGTCGGTGTCTAGCCACAGCCTGTGTCCAGCCTGTTTCTATATGGGAAGAAAACTGCATACAACTATATAGGTATAGGTTGAAAGAAAGAGAAAAAAAAAATTTTAATGAAATCTAAACCAGGCACTGGTAGCTTACACCTGTAATCCTAGCTACACAGGAGGCTGAGATCTGAGGATTGTGGTTCAAAGCCAGCTCTGGCAGGAAAGTCCATGAGACTCTTATCTCCAATTAACCACCAGAAAACTGGAAGTGGCACTGTGACTCAAAGTGAAAGATAGAAAGAAGAAAGCTAATTTAAACAGCATATCAAAATAGAGCATACCTCTGTGTGTATCCATGAAGGGTTTTCAGAGACAACTGAATAAGGGGAAGACCGGCATGGAACATGTGCAGCATCCTTATCATCTAGGCTCTCAGATGAAATCAGAGGGGAAAAGGGAACCAGGAGCTGGTATGCCTATAATCTTAGCTATTCAGGATACTGAGCTATGAGGATCTTGGTTTGGAGCCAGCCCAGACAGAAAAATTCCCAAGACTCTTATCTCCAATTAACCAGCCAAAAGCTGGAAGTGCCATAAGCTGGAAGTAGATAGAGGCCATGTCTCAAGAAGTAGTGCATCATGAGTAGAAAAACCACCACGAAAAAAAAAACAAGAGTATGACAGCTTCTCAGCTCAAGTCCCAGTAACAGCAAAAAATTAAACAAGGGCAAGGGGGATGGAAGGGAAAAGAATGCCTGCAAACACATGCTTGCTTGCTTTCTGCTTCCTGGTCATCACCATTATGTGAGCTGCCCTGCTCTGCTATACCCTCCCTACCATGATGGTCTGAAACTGGCACAAGAGAAATCCTTCCTCCTTTAAAATGTTCCTCTCTCAGGGCTGGGAAGGTGGCTCAGTGGTAGAGTGCTTGCCTTGCATGCATGAGGCCCTGGGTTCGATTCCTCAGCACTACATAAGCAGAAAAAGCCAGAAGTGGTGCTGTGGCTCAAGTGATAGAGCGCTAGCCTTGAGCTGAAGAGCTGAGGGGCAGTGCCCAGGCCCAGAGTTCAAGCCCCACAACCGAACAAAAAAAACAAAAAACAAAAAAAACAAATGTTCCTCTCTCTTTGTGGGGGAGAACAATGGAAGGAAGGGGCGATCAAGATTTGCTAGATGTACTATATTCAAACCAATATGTTGAGAAGAAACTGCTTAGTACAATTACTAGAAGAAAATTTTAAATTTTGAATAAATAGTTCCTCTCCGGTATTTGTCACAGCAATGAAAAAACTAACATACAAATAAGAGGAAATTCAGCCAAGCATAGGCTACACAGCTAGAGAATGTATGCCCAAGTCTCCCAAACAGACAGATACAGTCATGGGACTAAGTCCTAGCCAACGCAACACAGGAGGAAACGATGGGTCCAGCTTGCAGGTCATTCTGTGTAGGAAGGACTTTGCTTGCTCTGAATTTTTGCTTTTTTTTTTTCCTCTTACCTACCAGTTGGAACAAAGACCCAAAATGGTCCTGTAACAACCACATGAAAGAGGACAACATCCTAGCTGGAAGAGCCACCAGACAGAAAGAACCTGAGCTCCTGAATTATCACATATAACTGAGCTGCTCTACCAACTTTAAGCATCTAAGCCTACAGCACAACTAATACCACTCTATCTGTGATTGTAGGGGGAGGATGAACAGAGAAAAGACAACGCAAGGAAGAAAGAATGGATAGACAGATAAACACATACATACATAGAAATAGAGAAGTAGGTAGATACATATGTTCATACATTCGTACACACACAGAAATAGATACATAGGTAGAGAGAGAGAGACAGAGAGACAGACAGGGAGGAAGTTCTTGGGTCAATGACAAGCTGAGGGCTAGGATGGTCTGAAGCCCCTCAGCATGAAAACTACCCATACAAAGTATTTCCCAGAGAATTCAAATACAATACTGCTACAAGTGGTGAATTGTAGAGCATTTTCTTTGTGAAGATCAGCTCCTTCACGGAAGGACACCGATGCAGGCATCTGTTCTATAGAAAGGAACAGATTTCTTCATGAACCAGAACAATAAAGTGCTGTTTTCGTGGGCCACCTGCCAGAATTAAGGACTAGCCTCGTTATATAGAACCAGATGTCACAATGGAATTTGCTACCATTTTCTGGTACATAGAAAATGACCGGCCACATTCTTTGCTACCTCTTAGTGCAAATGGGAACTTTCTAGCCACCAAAATTCAAAAGGACCCAAGTATACTTTCCTCAACACTACACTCCCATTTTTGTTTTTTTGAAATTCTTACTGGGTCTATCTTGAATTACATACTTTAGAGAGCAAAACTCCCCTGCTGCTAACATAATGTGATTTCTGCAACACAATAAGTGAATTTGTATGTAAATCAGATTTCTATGAAGTTAATCATGCATTCCATCCAATAAATAGTTCTTAGGGGTTTACTTGGTAACGCTCCACCTGAAGCAAGGGAAACATAATTGCTCTCCTCAGGAAGGAAGAGATGGACACCCACTCATGTGAGGAGGAGTGCAGGTAGCTGTGAGCATTCAGCAGAAGGGCGTCCATCCCAGCCATCCCAGAGGTACAGGGCCAAGGAGGTTTCCAGAAGTGACATCTAACCCAACCCCAGAAAGAGAAGCAGTAGTGAGTCAAGTAGACAGAGACGGAATAGACAAGACAAAGGACAAGAAGCAAAGAAAACCCAGGATGGGCACAGAAAGAAAGAAATGGAAGCTGACAAGAGTCCTTGGAGACACAGGTGAGAAAGGCTTGTCAACCACATGACAAGGTTTGGACTTTATCCAGAGAACATCAGAGAATCTTGAAAGGTTTTGACAGTGGGTTTTGACTCAGCTGCAGTATGTAACATACCTTCAAGGTGCAGGGAAAGATGGACAGCAGGGAGAACATTCCAGAGGCCATATAGAAAAGCAGGCAAAAGGAAACTGAGGCCAGGATTCACACAACAGAGAAAGGAATGGATGTAAGAAATAGCCAGGAAAGATGTATAGGAGGCAGATGCTATTTTGGTGTTCATTCATTTAAAATGTTTATTCTAGATCTGGTGCTCAAGATGCTAATGGCTCACACCTGTAATTCTAGTTACTCAGGAGGCCAAAATCTGGGGATCTTAGTTCAATCCAGGCAGGAAAGTCTGTGAGACCTGTACCTCCAATTAACCAGCAAAAAGCCAGAAGTAGAGCTGTGGCTCAAGTGGTAGAGTAGTAACTTTGAGCAAAGCCATGGGACAGCATCCTGTCTGAGTTCAAGCTCCATGAATGGCACACATAAAAAAAAAAGAAAGAAAAGAAAGAAAAAAGGTATAGGATGTTCCCTTGTACTTCATACCTGTCTGCAGTGCAGGCATCTTTGAACTGACACATGGCAAGTGCAGATGTCCATGAGGTACAGTGATATTTAAACACACGTAGGCAGCATGCAATGATTACATTAGGGTAACTAGTATATGTTATCATCTGTGTGTCAGGAACATTCAAAATCCTTCTAGCTACTTTAAAATATGCAATAAGTTATGATTAGCTCAGGTTGCCCTCTTGTGCTAGAGGATACCAAAGACAATCCTACTATCTAACTGGACTTTTAGAACGAATAACTAGCCTTTCTCTCTTCCCCTCAACTCTCAACCCTTCCCAGCCTCTGGTAACCATGACTCTTATTTCTAGGAGATAAACTCTTTTTAGTTTTTACATGGTGAGAATAGGCTGCATCTTCTTATAACAACTACGGATTATTTGAACTTTGAAACAAGTAAAGCAAGATTCCATTAAAGGTAGAGACCATTCCTTTTTATTGCCCTGTAAACCACGGATCCAGAGCCCAACTGGTCAGCAAGCCTTTGCTAAATGGCTGACTCCTAATCTTTAGAAGGAAAGGGACAAGGGAGACCCGGAAGTCACAGGAGGGACGGACTGAATGAGTCAGTCAGACATGGGTCGTGTTGGCAAGAACCATCATCCCATTCTGTAATGGTGGTATCTGTGATCAGAGTATGCGGCTTGCTCCACAGAGAGGGATAGGAAGACTCACCAGGTAGAGGTGATTTCTGTCCTGAAAGGCACAGTGTAATTGGGGAATCCAAGGGCTTGTGCTTTGAGATAATATATTCCGTTCTTCCTCAAAAAATGAGACCTATAGGGAAAAAGAAACTCTTTAGACAAATTTTAATAGAAAGAAAGAAATATAAAAGAAAAACTCCCTTTATCTGCCTTTAAGCCAAAACAGATGATTCTGGGGTTTAAGTCATCACTTAGCTTAGCATTACACAACTTGGCTCAGTTATGCACTTATTTTGTTCAGTTTGTGCCAGATCCATATATTACCCACCCAATTATTTACTTAACATCTCTCTTTAACTTTAGCTCACTTCCTTGCTACCCAAGTGTCTTTCTTTTCCTGTTTACCTGTGCTCTCTGAACAGTTCATGCTCGAAGACTTTAGGTGGAACAAAACAAGATGAGAGCACAGGCCAGGTGGGAAAGACAGCACCATGGTACCTAGAACAGGGTGCATGGTACAAGTAGAGTAGAGTGGCTATCAGATATGGGGGCACGAAGGCATCACACAGAGAGGAGATTTTAGAGCAGGTTATTTGGGCCCACCAACAGGACAGAGAATAACTACAAAGATAGTCAACTACCAAGATAGTCAACAGAATGCATAAAGATACAGAAAACAAGCACTGCTGGACGTGGTGGCACACACCTGTAATCCCAACTCCCTGGGAGATGGAGATTACAGACCAAGGATAGCCCTGGACAAAAATGCAAGTCTCTAACTGAAAAACTAAAGCAAAAAAGGCCGGGAGCATAGTTCAAATGGTACAGCATCTGTCTAGGAAGAATGAGGCCAAGCCTAAACCTGAGTACTTAAAAAAAAAAAGTGAAAATAGTATGGGCATAATGTTACAGCTGAGAATTACCACTATAGTTTGATAAGTGTTGCCCTAATGGTCCATGGATTAAAGTCTTGGTCCTAAACCCCCTCTACTATGCTCTACTTTTTTTTTTTTTTGGTCGGTCATGGGGCTTGAACTCTGAGCTTGGGCGCTGTCCCTGCGCTCTTCAGCTCAAGGCAAGTGCTCTACCGCTTGAGCCACAGTGCCACTTCTAGTTTTCAAGTGGTTTATTGGAGATCAGAGTCTCACAGACTTTCCTGCCCGGGCTGGCTTTGAATCATGATCCTCAGATCTAAGCCTTCTGAGTAGCTAGGATTACAGGCGTGAGCCACCAGCACCCAGAGGCTCTACTTCTTAATAAGAGAAACATTAAGAAGTAGAGACTGAGCCCAGCACTGGTGGCTCATGCCTGTCATCTTACCTACTCAGGAGGCTAAGATCTGAGAATCAGAGCTCAAAGCCAGCCCAGGCAAGAATGTCCATGAGACTCTTACCTCCAATGAACTACCTGAAAATCCAAAGTAGAGCTGTAGCTCAAAGTAATAGAGCTCTAACCTTGAGTGGAAAAAGCTCAGGAACAGCCTCAGACGCCGAGTTCAAGCCCAACAACCAACCAAAAAAAATAAATAAATAAAAGGAAGTGGAGCCTAGTAGGAGGTCTTTGGGCCATGCCTTTAAAAAGGATACTGCAACTCCATGTTATCTTTCTCTCTTTTACATGCCGGCCATGAGACAAACAGTTTTGTCATGAACTACTTCATCCAAAAGCAATGGAGCCCACCAACCCTGAACTGAAATCTCTGAACTGTAAATCAAAACAAACCTCAAGTATTTGTTACAGTAACAGAAAGCTGACTAACACATAGAGAAACACAGAAAAGGCAAAGACTAAAATGATCCTTGTGAATTGGAGGAATTGGCATAAACTTAGAATTTTATTTTTTGCTTCTTTTTTTGGCTGTTTTTATTATTATTTGTTGTTGTTTGTTGCTTGGTTTAGAGGGTTTTTTTGCAGGGGGGGGGGGAGTTGGCAGTACTTGGGTTTAAACTCAGGACCTTGACCTTGCCAAGCAAGTGCTCTACTGCTTGAGACATGACCCCACTCTTGTCGCCTTGGTAATTTTTTGAGGGTTGGCCTGAATTGCAATCCTATTTATCGCTCCCCTGTAGCTGGAATGAAAGGTGTGCGCCACCTTCATACTGCCACCACGGCCAGCTTTCTATTAAGTGAGGTGGGATCTTGTGAACTTTTAGCCAGGGCTGGCTTTGTATCACAACCTTCCCCATCTTGACCTCCTAAGTAGCTAGTATTACAGAGTGAGCCAAAGTCACCAGCTTGGCCTTCTGTTTTTTGTTGTTGTTGTTTTGGGGGATTTTTGGCGTTTGTTTTTTTGTCAGTCATGGGACTTGAACTCTGGGTCTGGGCACTGTCCCTGCACTCTTCAGCTCATGGCGAGCGCTCTACCACTTGAGCTACAGAGTCATTTCCAGTTTTCTAGTGGTTTATTGGAGATAAGAGTCTCACAGACTTTCTTGCCCGGGCTGGCTTTGAACCATGATCCTCAGATCTCAGCCTCCTGAGTAGCTAGGATTACAAGCGTGAGCCACCGGCGCCCGGCGGCCTTTTGTTTTTTTAAGACAGGGTCTTGCTATGTAGACTAGTCTGGCCTCAAACTTGTGATTCTCCTGCCTCAACAGTAGATACCACTGTGCCCAGCTGCAGACTTGGAGTTTTCAAGATACAGATATATACTGAATTATATAGACATATATAAAAATAGGGAGGTAATATGTACATGTACATGTGCGCCAGTATGTGTGGATTTGTATACATATGGGGGAGTATATAAGTAGGTATATGGCACATGTTTTTCTGATACTTGTCTTATGATAGTGTTGTGAAGTCCTTGTGATAGCCACTACACAGTGAAGTATTTTCAAGTGGTTCCAGAGGGCGGGAAAGTTGTACTGTCTGATAGGTAATTCTATGTGTCAACCTTGCCAGGCCATAACACCCAGTTATTCAGACATTAAGAATTGCTGTAAAGGTATTGTGGAGATGTTTTTGTCTACAATCAGTTGACTTTAAGTGACAGCTTTTCTTCAGTTATCTGTGTGGGCCTCTTCCAATCAGTTCAAAGACCTGAAGAGAAAGCCAGTGCTTTCTCTAAAGATCAAGAAATTGTGCTTTAAGAGTGCATCATCCTTTCCTCTCCCTCAAATTTCCAAAATTTCCAGCCTGTTGTCCTGCCTACAGCCTTCAGACTTTCCAGTTTGCACCACCACTGAAACCACCTGCCTGGCGTAAGTCAATTCTGCACATATGTGTATATGGGTATAGATGTGTGTGTACCTATAAACATGCATTTGCATTCTATGTGGATATCTTATATGTAGATATAATCTATGATCCGTGTATATACAACAATGGCATATGTATATTCTGTGTGCGTGTATGTCTGTTTGTCTATGGTAGATTGGTTCAAGAACACCTATGAGTAGCAAATCACACAGAACCTCAAGTCACTTATATAAAATAGCACAGTATTTGCACAGAACCTATATAGATCTTCTGTATGGTTCTAATCACCTCCTGTAATACTTAATACTACACAAATAGCAATACTGAATTCGTTAGAAATTAGTGACAAGAAAAATGTCTACCATTTGGTGCACACACACACCATCTTTCCTTTCTTCCTATTTTTAGTTTGTAGTTGGGTAAATCCATAGAGGCAGAGGCTACGAGAATGCTTCAGGAAAACTGTGTGTGAGGGTTAGCTTTATATGTTAACTTACTGCTTCATTTCCCCTAAGAACCCTGACTGATCATGGAACTCTTCTATAAATCTGTGATTGTTTCAGTCAGTTTAACTTGAAGTATACCTTGTTCCATATCAGTTCCTACAACAGCATCTGTGGAAGCTGCAGGTTTTGATATGCTAGTGAGTACAAAACTATTAAGTGGGGCTGGGATGTAGCTCAGTGGCAAAGCGCTTGCCTAGCAAGTACAACATCCTGGGTTCGATCCCCAGTACCAAAAAAGAAAAGACAAAAAAAAAAAAAAAAGATACAGTTTAAAAAAAAAACTATTAAGTGTTTTTAAATAGTTTGTCCTCACACTGCCTAAAAATCACCTAGCACACCTCTAGTGCTAAATGCCAGCCTTTTGGAAAATAGCAACCCAACTCCAGTCATTTACTGCCCCAAGGGGCTGGTTCTTCTTCATGATGGCATATAAAAGCTGTTCAGAGGAGGTCGCTGAACTGAACAGCCTCCACCTTCACTTGCTCACCCCTAACTGACCCCTGAAGTGTCCATTAAAGTAAGTGGTCTCTGGGGACCTCTTCCAGTTGTCACAGTATTTCAGGCAAGTGTGCTGGCCTCCCCTGGGTGACAGGCTTTGCCTGCAGGATACCACCTCTCCAACGCTTCCTTTCTTCAGCTTCTTCCTTGGTGGCTTTTCTCTTCTCAGGTCCTTAAGTTCCAACTCCTGACAGAGATTCCATTAAGATACCTATTTTTCTGTTATATGCACTCTCTTGAGGAATGGACACACACTTAAGGAAGAGTCCACACTTCTTACATGCTCCTTTCAAACCATTCATACAGGCAAACCTGTATGAACACCTCTATGGTCTGCCTGCAGTGTGGCGCGCTGGATTCCTTTTTTTTTTTTACTTACATGTGCTATTTCCCATCTACAATGTTTGCATCGCAAGGTCAGACTACATCAAATGCCTCTCCTCAAGGACCTAGAAACACAAATGCTCAGGAAGTATGTGATGATGATAGATTAGTTCTGACTCAAATGTAGGAGACCTAGTAAGTACCTTAGCCTCTGGTCTTCCAAGTTATTTGCAACATCGTGTCATTTTTCCTGTCTGTGAAGTTGCTCACATTTTCTTCCCCAAACAAATATTCAATGTGCAGAGACAGTCTATTGGACCTGGTATACATCTGTCATTCTTGGGATCTGACAAGCAGCTTCCTGCCCTCTGCTGCTTCTCTGCCTGGAAGCCACAAAATGTCACTGAAGTCCTCAGGGACCCAAGCAATCACAACCTCCGCATTCTAAAAGCCTAAATGATCTCCAACTGTTTCACAAAGTAGAAATGCCATTCCAAAAATGGTCTAGGGCAACAGGAACAAATGATGTAAATCTGGAAACTACTGGAAAGGTATAGAATTTTGCCATTGTACCTGTTGCCATAGAAATACAGGACGGTTTTGCTTTGTTTAAAATCTTGGGAGGGTGGGATGGGTACAGAGACTCTGTTTGGGATGATGACTAAGCTCTAGATACAGATGATGGTTACAGTTGTACTTGATGGTTCTGCATTAATACCACTATAGATGGTTGTACATTAATACTACTAAGTTACACACTAAAAGTAGTTGAAATGGTAAAGTTTTTGATTAAGTACGGCTTATGACATTTCCCTCCAATTCCCCAACCCACTCAAATGTCCTCAAGTTTGCCCTAGTTCACAATGTGTTTATACTGAACCACTAAACAGGCACACAGACACACACACACAGACACACACACAGCACCATAGTTCTCATCCATGGCTACCTCCTATCACTTCTGTGCCCAGGCTCCATTCCCTCTCATCAGAGAGGACAAATTGTCTCTGGCTCACTCATGACATCTCCCATCACCGCTAATGAGTTTAATTGTTCTCTCCCCTCTGTGATGCTTTCTCTGGTAAGCACCTGTTTTATAGATCTGCATTTTTCCTCCTCTTCCCAAGGCTGTGGTTAAACCCTGAAAGTAACAGCTATGGAACTTCAATCCCTTCCGCCAGCTCCCCACAGAGCTAGGTACATTATTAGAACCATGATGTGCACTACGATGTCTGTAACTAATAAATTACTCTCTGAACTCCAAGGCTGGCAGCTCTCACTCTCTTTAAAACACAACAAATGAATCAATATGTCTAGAGATACACCAGCCCTACTTAAAGAAAGAAGAATATCACAATGGAAAAGCAACTCCCCAGCTACGCAACACGATTCTATTTAACTTCTACAAAGGCTCATGATAAAATCAAATACATATGCCTGCCATAGAAGTTATCTACAGCCTGTACTAAAGCAAATGCTACCTAATTCTCCAATTGTATGCATGTTCCCAAATATCCAGCTAATGGTCAGGAAAGAACATATATATGCATGTATGTTGCACATATATGTATATGTGCAACATACATAAATGCCTTAATTAGGAGGTCAACTTGGTTCTGAAATAAAATTATAGAATCAGGATAAAGAAATCGATGGAAGTTTGTGAGCCTTCTAAATTAACCCACAGCAGCTCGACAAAAGCTAAGCAACACCACAGGTTTATTTTTTGGTTTTTTGGGTTTTTTTTTTTCTTTTTGATCTTCCAGGAATAATTAGCGACCAAGTCAGAGAACTTGCTGAATTCTAGATGCCAAACCAGCAGGTGATTGTCTCTGCAATGAACATTCCAGTCCAGAAAGAGAAAGACCTGATGTGAAAATGCTCCTACCTGCTCCTGAGCCAACAAGGCCTTCTTCTTCATGATTTTCATGGCATAGATGTCCCCGGTTGCTTTCTCTCTGACCACCTGTACTTCCGCAAAGTGACCACAACCTACAAGACTTCGAACTTCAAAGTCCTTTGCCGAAGGCTGAAGCTCCTGTAGTTCGGCTACAATGTCAGAATCTGCAAAGAGATGGAAGTGTAATACCCAGGTAAATAAAGCACTCCAAATATATGCATCTTTATGAAAGGAAAGAAGAAAAATGTGCTTATGACTTCCTTCACTGTCAAAAGACATTTAGTCATTTTCTCATCCATCACGAATAATTATAAAATCAGCACAAAAGTGTTTTTATATGTTAAGTTAAAATTAAGGGCTTCAGAAATTCCAAAGTACAGTTTCCATGGTAGCTATAATTTGAATCCTGTAGACTAAGAAAATAGGGAGGGAGGATACAACCCAGGCTTTTTCTCCTTCCTCTGAAGGCTGCAGGACAGTGTTAGGTCAAATAAGCTTTTCAGCATGTACACAACTGCTTCATAATGTGAAAAAGCAACATGGTTCCCATTTTCCAAATCTATCCATTAGACCTACACATGCTTTCCTCAGTTTTATCCTGTTAGGCCAGGTTTTATCTCCCTTACGTTGTGTCAAAGTCTTCCTTACCTTACCATGTGACAATCTTTCAAAGAAGATAAAGAAGCTAGTAACCTGAAGGATCGCTACAGGGTTCACATGCTGCCCATTTTCATGGACTTTTCCATAACATAGTTTTATTCCTTTTCCAAGTCCAATGTCTCAATGTACACAGTGTAGGCTAAACACATGACTCTAGCATGCACTTATTAATACTGGAATGGACTAAGCAGAGACATTGCTAAAAGGACATGCTGGCTTCTAAGAATGGAGGAAAGCAATCATGACTGGCCTAAAAGCTGGATCCTGTGAATAACAGAAAAACCCTATCACACACATGGAAAGAGAATAAAAGATCCCTGAAGTTACAATTATCTTGGGTTTAGTATGTAGCTCCATAGTAGAGCATGTGTTTAATATTCATGAAGCCCTGGGTTCGATCTTCAGCACACATACAATATATTTAAAGATACAGATGTAGGGCTGGGAAGGTGGCTCAGTGGTAGAGCACTTGCCTTGCATGCATGAGGCCCTGGGTTCGATTCCTCAGCACCACATAAGCAAAAAGAAAAAAGCCGGAAGTGGCGCTGTGGCTCAAGTGGTAGAGTGCTAGCCTTGAGCTGAAGAGCTGAGGGACAGTGCCCAGGCCCAGAGTTCAGGCCCCATGACTGGACCCAAAAAAAAAAAAAGATACAGATGTAAATAATATACACACCTACATACATATCCACATATACATATGTGCCACATACATGTATACATACATAAACACTCATATTTACATATACATTATCCCAGAGAATCCTATCTTCCCTCTTTTTTTTTCTTACAAGGGTGGAGCTGCAAAGGGTGGGGTCAAAGGCATTATGGGATGAGCCCCACAGACACACTCTCACTTCAGAAAGACATCCCATGATCCTTTCGGGAATCAGGCCAGGGATGGGTAGATCCATAGGAGTTCACTATGACCACTATGAAATAGAAATCCAGAGCTCCCACCATGGAGAACAAAATGTGGAAGAAACCTGAAAGCGGCATAGTATTTTCTTTTTCCCTGACAATGCAGTGCTGGGCCCTGTTCTCCCTTCCCCATCCCTGTCCAAGTATCTCTCGTATCAAGTATTTGAGTGCTGAACTATCATTCATCAATGCACTGGCTTGCAACTTTTTAGGTTAAATCTTGTTTCATGATCACTAGTACACAGAGCCAATCTCTCTTAACCTTCTATGGGGCCTTGGGCTCCAATGTTGCTGATGGTGTTGTCCAACTTTAATAACTCTGGGTCTGTTATGGGAGTCAACCAGGCATCTCAATCACAAGTAGAAAAACTGCTTTGTAGGCAAAAATACCACACTACTCACAGACTTTTAAGAAACCATTCCAAATCATCTTTTTACCCAAAAGGCTTCTGGATTATTATTAAGGTAAATAGAGGAGAAACCCTTAATGTCTTCTCTCCATATCAGCTGCTTCTATGACCCCTCAAACATCCGGCATGCATCAATCCTTTATCCCTGTGCTGTAGTATTAACAGGTCCAGTGAGTACAAAATATTGAGGTCAAGACAAAGACCCAAAACACTGTAATGGAAACACAGTGGAGGCATGGCATTGTCACCCAAGGAGCAATGCCAACACAGCTGAGTCTATTGCTTCCTTTCTTGAAACTCAGGAAACCAACATTTCAACTTCTAGGAATCCAATCCTTCATCAGAAGCCCCAGCACATATGCTCCGAAAATCTACATATGAAGATGCTCATGAGGAAAAGAACAAAAATAATCCGAAACAACCCAAGGGCCCTTCAGCAGAAGTGGGAACTTTCTAAATGTGCGCCACATTCAGGACCATGAGGCACATGTTGAAAAGTATGAGGAAATCCAGCCTACATCAGAACACAGTAGTCTTCCCACAGGCAGAAAGTTATTTGCTTTTAATTATGCTCAGCATTTTACATTAAGTTCTTCCTGGAAAAAGTGCATGTGCACATGCGCACACACACAAGCACGCACTTTTGCATGAAATGACTGAGTCTTGCAGGACCCTTGAAGTATTCGGAAACTTGCAAAAAGTTCCCAGATCCCACATTTGGAATTGTGTTGAGCATCTGAGTGTGGCTGGGAAAGATCTGGGAGAATGATGGAACGGGGTGACATTGCAATGTGCTCATAATCAGAGTTGGTGGAATTGGAACCCCTTTAACCAACTACTTAAACACAATATAAATACTAATCTAAAAAAAAAAGAATTGCTTTGGATAATCCTATTGTAACATGTAGCAAAGGTAGTAACACCATTTTAGAGTCCTACTTACAAAAAAAAAAAAAGCCGGGAATATGGCTTAGTGGTAGTGCTTGCCTAGCATGCATGAAGCCCTGTTCGATTCCTTAGTACCACATAAACAGAAAAAGCCAGAAGTGGCACTGTAACTCAAGTGGTAGAGTGTTAGTTAGCCTTGAGCAAAAGAAGCTCAGGGACAGTGCCCAGGCCTTGAGTTCAAGCCCTAGGACTGAAAAAAAAAAAAGTATGGTAAGTTACACCAGTACCATCTTCATAAAGCGCCTAATGAATTGAGAGATTTGAACATTCCCAAAACAAGGAAATGATACATGTTCAAAGTGATGCACGTACCAATGACCCTGACCTGATCACTACATATTAAAAATAAGCATGCGTATGGAATTGTAACCTCTTTGTTTTACTAATTAATTTTTAAAATAAGCATGTATTGAGACAACCACACTGCACCCCAAATACGTACAATTATTATGCATCGGTTAATTTTTTAAAGATATATTAAAAACTGAACTTTTTTTTTTAGGGAAAAAAAATGCAACAGCCAGGCACCAGTGGCTCCCACCTGTAATCCTAGCTACTCAGGAGGCAGAGATCTGAGGATCGCAGTTCAAAGCCAGCCTGGCAGAAAAGTCCATGAGACCTTATTTCCAATAAATTACACAGAAAAAGCCAGAAATGACACTGTGGCTTTAGTGGTAGAGTGTTAGCCTTGAACAAAAGAAGCTCAGGGACAAAGCCCATGCCTAGAGTTCAAGCAAGGCCCAGGACGGGCAAAAAAAAAAAAAAAGATTCCATATTGAATGACAGACCTACCCCATGTAGATCTGTCTAAATATTCTCTATGATGTCTTCACAATGACACATTTCACTTAATGACACATTTCTCAGACCATATACCCTGATCAAGTGATGCATGACTATAGTCAGTGAAGAAAATCCCTTCTTTGGTTTCCAGATGCCCATTTGCTGCCGTCCTTTGGCCCAAAGTCAGGGGCATCTCTATTAGAGGCACTACTTCAGAGTTACCCTCGCTGTCCCAAAGGAAATTTCCATTTCTGCGGGGTGCTGGTGGCTCACAATGTAATCCTAGCTACTACTCAGGAGGCTAACATCTGAGGCCAGCCCTGGTAGATAAATCTGAGACTCTTATCTCCAATTAACCAACAAAGAGTCCTAAGGAGAGATATGGCTCATATGGTAGCGCACCATCCTTGAGCAAAAAGCTGAGAGAGCAAGAGTCCCCAGGTTCAAGCCCCAGTACTGGCAGAGACAGAAAAAGAAAGATGGTCAGAGAGAGAGAGAGAGAGAGAGAGAGAGAGACTCTATTCCTACGGAAGACCCAAGAAACTTGACAGTAGCAGCTGATAGCCCCTTCTCCACATAGAAAAGCAAAGCTTACATTCCGTAACAGAAGGCTTAAAAGGGAGTGTGTGGGGGGGGGGGGTGAATCATACAACTGTAATCACTAGATTTCAATCATGGCCTCTTCACAGTTCTCCCCAGGAAGCCTCTTCAAAAATGTGAAGCAATTCCCCGGAAGAGAGTTCTACTTGAAAAAGTCTACCTTCCACTAAAGCAAGCCCCCTGACTGCTGAATGGTTCTTGATGATAGGATGCTTTTAACGTAACCAGGGGGGAGGCTTAAGACTAAGGAAGGGGCCTGAAGATGGTAAGTAAGCTCATCTTGTCATGCCATTTCCTTCCCCTCCCACTCCCTAATTAAGAATTTAAAGAAAGTGGAATCATAATCAAATAAATACAGAATGACGAACAAATACCTCAAGTACATTGTAAAGATACACAATGTCTTAAACATCATCGAGGTTTATGGTTATCACTGCTGGTCAACATGTATTGTCTATGATATGCCAGGAACATAAAGCTAGTCTGTATTAACTCATTCATGATCTAATTTTACATACATTCCCCCAATTTCTGCACATGAAGAAACTGTAAAATATTGAAGGTCACAATAGTCAACCTATGTCAATTTTGCTTAATCAGTACCCTCCAACTCTTTAGGGTAATTAATTATACATTCCCATTCCACAAAGCCCTCATAATAATCAGTGTCCTGACCCCTCTCAATTCTATGAGTAAAGAAATTCACTCTGTGAGTTAAGCTCCTATCCCTTGTGACTAAGGAGCTCGCTTATCTAGTTTCCCAGCTAAAAAAGAACGTGACCCCTAAAAAAGAACGTGAACCTTGAGTCAGCCTTGTTTAGACCAGAGTTTTCACCTACTAGCGTCAACCATTACTACCTAACTCCACCTCCAGCGGCCTCTGGTATCCCTATCAGAATGGTGTTCAAGAAACATTTCCCATGGGCTGGGAAGGTAGCTCAGTGGTAGAGTGCTTGCCTTGCATGCATGAGGCCCTGGGTTCGATTCCTCAGCACCACATAAGCAGAAAGCAGAAAAAGCCAGAAGTGGCATTGTGGCTCAAGTGGTAGAGCACTAGCTTTGAGCTGAAGAGCTGAGGGACAGTGCCCAGGACCAGAGTTCAGGCCCCACAACTGGCCAAAAAAAAAAAAAAAAAGAAACATTTCCCCAAAGGGCTGAGAGTATAACTCAAGTAACAGAGAGTCTGCCTCAAAGGGTGAGGTCCAACCCCAGTACCACTATCATCATCATCATCAAAAAAAAAGAAAGAAATTCTCCAGACTTACACTTCCGAACAAAGTTGCTCACATGCTTAATCTTCATCAGAGCAGGCTGACTGCATTCTTCAAAGAGAACAAAGAGGGCATCTAATATCCCTTCTCGGGAAAGAGCAGACATCTGCTGTTGAGTCATAAAGGGTGCTTTCCCCTGAAAACAGCAAACAGCAGATGGAGAAACTGTCAATAATGAAAAGCTTTAATCGATAATATCCATACCAAGTATACAGCAAACCACCAACTCAACTAACTGCCCACAGTGTGACTTGATTCCTTAAAGCCATGGTCAACTGGTAGTCATAAAGTGATGGCTCTTCTGATCCCATCACTGTATGTGTCTTTGCCCAGTGCCTTGGAAATAAGCATGTCGTTCCTAAGAAAAGGTCCCATGCAGATCTGAGGCTGGTGGGAAGACTTACTCTGAGCCCTGTTATTTCTGACACATTCCCATGTCTTTCAAATAGGAAGTGATGATTGGCACCTCTTTCATGGGTGCCCAGGAGTTTGTGACTGTAATGTCAATGTCCTTAAATCATTTGGAGTAGCATGATTGGAGTTAACTATCAAAGTTGAATTTATTCATGGTCTGGAGGAACAGTTAAAAAACTGACAGAATGTGTCTAGAACACAGACATGTTTTGTTTGGCCCATAGTGTGCAAAATAATTGAAATATCTGCCAATACTTAAAATTACCAAGAGATTTCATATATACAAGAGAGACAGAGAAAGAAACAAAAAAGGAAATATTTGGTCAGGTGCCAGTGGCGGCTCATGCCTATAAACCTAGCTACTCAGGAGGCTGAGATCTGAAGACTGTGGTTCAAAGCCAACCTGGGCAAGAAAGCCTATGAGATTCTTATCTCTAACTAACCAGCAAAGAGCTGGAAGTAGAGCTGTGGCTCAAGTGGTAGAGCACGAGACTTGAGCAAAAAAAGCTAAGGGACAGTGCCCAGGCAATGAGTTCAAGTCCCAGTAGTGACAGAAAAGGAGTGGAAGGAGGTGAGGGAAGGAGAGGAGGGGAAAGAAGAGGAGGGGAGAGGAAGAGGACTGTCTCGCTTTTCTTGAAACACTGGCAGACCCAGCAATGTTACCCCCACATTCCTGGTGACATTGAGCTGGGGCTAAGAGGTGCTACCCTTCTTGGCAGTCTATATGTTCTGGAATTCCTGCAAATTGATTCACACATACCCACTGCCTGTCTCTCTCAAGACACAAGTCTGTAACCTCCAGTCTAGAGCAATGATTTCTATATGCCTGGTCTTAGGTTATGCAGTGGTCCTCCCCACAAAATGACAAGAATTCCTGCAACTCTCTCAGCACATGCCGAGCCTCTTTTTCAAGACTTGGGGTCTTGTCTGAAACTCACTTCAAACAAAAATAGTGACTCAAGTGACACAGAGCCAGTCAGCATCAATGGAACTCTTAAGAAACCTGGTAATTTCTGCTTTGCTGTTTTGGGAAGCCAAGTTCAGAAACTTAGGCTAGCTCAGTAATCACCAAACTTACAGCCTATGGGCCAAATATGGTCTACTGCTTGTCTGAAGGAATAACGTTTTATTCGAACACAGACATGCCCACTCATTTACATGTTGTCTGAGGCTATTTTGTGCTACAATGACAATGTTTAGCAACTGCAACAGAGATTCTTTTTTTTTTTTTTTTTGGGGGGGGGGGGTTCAGTCATGGGGCTTGAACTCTGGGCCTGGGCGCTGTCCCACAGCTCTTCAGCTCAAGGCTAGCGCTCTATCACTTGAGCCACAGCGCCACTTCCGGCTTTTTTCTTTTTGCTTATGTAGTGCTGAGGAATCGAACCCAGGGCCTCGAGCATGCAAGGCAAGCGCTCTACCACTGAGCCACCTTCCCAGCCCCTGCAACAGAGATTCTATGACTCTAAAAATGTAAAATGTTTATTATTTAGTGGAAAATAATTAGCCAGGTGCTGGTGGCTCATGTCTGTAATACTAGCTACTCAAGAGGCTGAGATCTGAGATCACAGTTTAAAGCCAGCCCAGGCAAGAAAGTCCGTAAGACTTTTTTCTTTTTTTTTTTGCCAGTCCTGGGGCTTGAACTCAGGGCCTAGGCACTGTCCCTGAGCTGTTTTTACTCAAAGCTAGCACTCTACCACTTGAGCCACAGCGCCATTTCCAGTTTTTTATGTGGTAATAAAGAATCGAACACAGGGCGTCATGCCTGCAAGACAAATACTCTACCACTTAAGCAACCTTCTCAGCCCTCTAAGACTCTTATCTCTAATAAACTCCACAGAAAAAGCCAGAAGTAGTGCTGTAGCTCAAGTGGTAGAATGCTGGCCTTGAGCACAAAGAGGTTCAGGGACAGGGCTCAAGCCCTGAGTTCAAGCCCCAGGACCAGCAAAAAAAAGTAAAGAGCCCTGGACTAGACCACTGACTGATGAAAAATATGGAGCAATGAGGTCCCTTAGAGGAACAGAGGGGTGCTAGCCAGCAGTCAGTACCCAGATGCTCCAATCCCAGAGGCAACAGATGATGTCATAGGGTAAAGCAAAGAGTTACCTAGTTGACTATAGTCAACCTGAAAAATCCTAAGGAGGAAGAAAAAAAAAAAATCAGTCTTTTAACTTTGGGAATCAATCTTTTAACTTGTGACACAGTAGCTTGAATAACCTAAAGGCTGATTACATGTGAACTGGGGTTGGTAGGGGGAGGGGAGGAACCTAACTAAAAATCAAACAGATTCTGTCCCTATCCCTAACCTCCTAAATTAAAATCTTCTACATTATAGCTTAAAATTTGTTTTGTGAGCAATTTATTTTTTCCCAGGAGTTGCAGAGTTCAATCAGGGATTGGCTAGCCCTGGGTCACAAGGCCGCCTGAGCTGTCACTGCAGCTGCAGTTGCCCCCTAATTCATAAAAATGAGATTCTTTGTTTGTTCTGCTCGTTGGTGAGTTTAGACCAACTAGGGGCTCTCCGATTCTTACTAAGTTTTCAACAGCCCACAGGGAACTGAAAAAGAAACAAACGCTCCATGATGCCTCTTTTCATAAAGCTGAGTATATTCAGATTGAAAATCAGGCCTGTATTCTGAGATGCTATTCTTCCTCTCTTGGTGTTTTCTTAAAATGCCCTTTCTTTAGGAAAGAAAAAAAAAAAAAAAAAAAGGCCAGGAGGTAATAGGTTTTTCTTTGTATTTGTTTTCTACCTCCTTACTTGGCAAAATAAAAAGCTCACAGAGTGATGGCCTCCTAGTGACTTGTGATATTTCTCTGGCTCTGGAAGTCTGCCAACCATTGACCTAGAACACTGCTGCCAAGGGCTGCTGGGTGGGAAGGAGGAAGACAGACTGGAATCAGTCTCAAATATTTACCTGAATGGGAAACAAATTCGATAATGTATCCAAACCTCCCTGGAACAGCTTAGATGGAAACAGCTTTGCCAGTCACAGGAGATCAACAGAAGGTGTATGTTACCCTTGCATTAACAGCGGCTGGTTTGTCCTTAGGTTCACTTTCTGGAGGTTTCATCCCCAGAGCAACAATGTGAAGTTGGTAGAGTTGATACAGTGGGAGGGTTTTTTTTTTTTTCCTTTCGGGATGGGTGAGTGGTGATGGGACTTGAACTCAGGACCTGACACTTGCCAGGCAGATACTTTAAATGTTAATATTTCTTTTTGTTGGTGGTGGTGGTGGTCATGGGCTTGAACTCTGGGTCTGGATGCTGTCCCTGAGCTCTTTAGCTCAAGTCTAGAGCTCTACCACTTGAGCCACAGTGCCATTTCCAGTTTTCTGAGTGGTTTATTGGAGATAAGAGTCTCACAGTTTCTTGCCCAGGATGGCTTTGAACCACCATCCTCAGAGCTCAGCCTCCTGAGTAACTAGGATTACAGGCGTGAGCCACAGGCACCTGGCTTTAAATGTTAATATTTCTAAGATGAAGGAAATGTTATTTATTGTGAGAGGGTTCTGAGTGGCACAGGTGCTATCAAAATTATTGTCTTTAATCTAAAAAAGTAAATATCCCTTGAATGAACAAGTAAACTAAAATTATGTTTACAGAAGTTTTAGGTGGTTTCTTTTTTTAAGTGTCTCTGTTCATTTGTTTTGCTTTCTCCAAAAAAGGAAAATGTTTAGAATAAAAGTATAAGGAATAAGAAAGTGTTAAGATCCAAACTTTACAACTTTGGTGTGGGGGGGCGAGGGGAAGATGGGAAGGGTTGGGAAGGGGAAACAAAGGAGGAGGCTACAATGCTTGATAAGAAATGTACTCATGGGGGCTGGGAAGGTGGCTCAGTGGTAGAGCGCTTGCCTTGCATTCCTGAGGCTCTGGGTTCGATTCCTCAACACCACATAAGCAAAAAGAAAAAAGCCAGAAGTGGCGCTGTGGCTCAAGTAGTAGAGTGCTAGCCTTGAGCTGAAGAGCTGAGGGACAGTGCCCAGGCCCAGAGTTCAGGCCCCACGACCAGACCCAAAAAAAAAAAAAAAAAGAAATGTACTCATGATCTTGCCCATGTAATTGTAACCCCTCTGTACAGTATTTTCACAATAAAAAAAAGAAAGAAAGAAAGCGTTAAGATCTCCCAGGACAAGTTCAGGTGCCTTCATAGTGGCTCCCTTTCCAAATATATTCAGTACCGGGGCTGGGAAGATGGCTCAGTGGTAGAGCGCTTGCCTTGCATGCCTGAGGCCCTCGGTTCGATTCCTCAGTACCACATAAGCAAAAAAAAAAGAAAAAAGCCGGAAGTGGCGCTGTGGCTCAAGTGGTAGAGCGCTAGCCTTGAGCTGAAGAGCTGAGGGACAGCGCCAGGCCCAGAGTTCAGGCCCCACGACCAGACCAAAAAAAAAAAAAGAAAAACCCAAATATATTCAGTACCTATAAAACATCAAATACAGCCAGGTGGCAGAGTGCTGGTGTCTCACGCCTGTAATCCTAGCTATTCAGGAAGCTGAGATCTGAGGATCGCAGTTCAAAGCCAGCCCAGGCAGGAAAAGTCAGTGAAACTCTTATCTCCAATAAACCACCAGAAAACTGGAAATGGCATTGTGGCTCAAGTGGTAGAATGCTCGCCTTGAGCTGAAGAGCTGAGGGACAGTGCCCGGGCCCAGAGTTCAAGGCCCATGAGAAACCAAAAAAAAAAAAAAACAAAAACAGTGGTGGTAAACATCTGTAATCTTACTACTCAGGAAGCTGAGATCCAGAGGATCATGGTTCAAAGCCATCTTGGGCTGGCTTTGAACCAGCTCCAATTAACCAGCAAAAAGCTGACCTGGAAGTGTAGCTCAAGTGGTAGAGCACCAGCTGTGAGCAAGAAAGCCAACCAAGCAAGAGCTCAAGGCCCTAAGTTCAAGCCCAGGTACTGGGGGGAAGGAGGAGAAGGGGGGAAGATTAAGATTTCACCTAGAGTATTAGCCTTGGTCCTAGAATACAAAGAAGAGTAAATGACAAGAAATTAAACACAGGTGATGATCACAGGCAGGAAACTTATTACCTGGAAGAAGAGATTCAGCCTGGAGGCCCGGCTGGCAATGGGCTCAGCAGTACCAGCATCCTGCGGGTTCCTGGCTCCATACTTGAACTTCAGCATCTCCCTACTGGAGCTGAAGGATATGGAAGAAAGGTCAAGTGAGTGGTATTGATGTTTTGAGCAGGAAGGGTTTGACAGATCTGATCTCCCATGAGCTTCAAGGATAGGGAGGTGAAAACAGCCACCCTCACACCAGTTTTAGGAAGCTCTCAGTCTGGCCACGGAGATGAAAACCTAGAAATTTTACTCCCTGAAGCCAGGAAGTAAACCCATTTGGCAAACTTGCTTACTATCTACCACCACCACCACCACCACCACCAAAAATAAAATTCAGAATGTAAAGCCAAGTATCAATGGCTCACACCTGTAATCCTAGCTACTCAGGATGCTGAGATGTGAGGATCAGGGTTCCAAACCAGCCTAGCCAGGAAAAGCCCATGAGATTCTTGTATCCAATGAACCAGCAAAAAGCCAGAAGTGGAGCTGTGGCTGAAATAGAACACCAGCAACTACTAAGGCCCTGAGTTCAAGCCCCAGGACCAACATCAAAATTAATTCTTTGTTAATAAGAATGTAAGCTCCAGAAAGCTGAGGATTTCCGCCTCCACATAGCCCCCTGCACATGGTAACTGTAACTAGTTACTGAGTTGGATGACTGAACTAAGCCAACCATATAAAGTATGTTGCAAGGGGATACTGTGGAATTTTCAAAAGAAATAAAGCCAGGTCAGTGCAAAGAAGGGCTGGGCAGCCTGGGAGACGCAATTTCTCAGTGTGATCAGAGTAAACTTCCCGGAGAACAAACCTCGTTAATATGGGGGGAAGGAGGGGGATGGAGAAAGGGGAAGGAATAATATCCCTGCCAGCAAAAACAGCCAGGGCAAGGGCAGAGGTCCAGAGGCAGGGCAGGCCTCTCTAACAGCAGCCAGATCACAGGGGCTGGAGCAGCTTGGGGGGGGGGGGGGGGGGGAGGCGGTGCGGTGAAAGGGGGGAATGGAAGGGGTCTGAGGTGTCTGAGGACACCAGAACAGAGGGGTTGAGTTGATGGCTAAGGTCACACGGGTAGTGAGGAACTAGCAGCCAGGCTCCAACTGAAAACACAAAGGTCAAGCTGATAGGAGACAGCGGAGCCTCCGCCCGTGGAAGGGGAAGCCCAGGTGTCGCCCGGCCTCCGGCACCGCCCCGCAGACCTCCAGCTCCCCGGCAGGGCGGGGACGCGGGAAGATTTTCCCCACCAACGCCCCCGCCCCCCGACACACACACCGCGGCCCGGGGACGGAATTGGTGGAGGACGAAGGCCGCCCTTTCCCCCCAGGCCTGGCAGGGAATTGAAGGTGTGGAGGGAGCCGAACTCACAGTCTACAGACAGGCCTAGCTTGCGCCTCGCGTTCCCCGGGCCTCCCGCCGCGGCGTTTGAACCCGGGAACGGGAGTGGGCGGGTCTTAACTGTATCTACGCCAATCATCGTTCCGGAAATCTATGATGGACCGCTTACGTCGCAAACCAGGCCGTACCCAAGTCCTTAAAGGGACTAGGGGAAGTGGAGGGGAAAGCCAATCAAATTGTTTCTTCCTTAGGTGGGTGACCAATAGGAGGAAGGGAGAGGCAGGCCCGGCCTGGCTGGTCTTGTGAGTTTGAAATTGGCGGTTGTGGGGAGTGGCGTGTTTAGGGACGCGTCTGTTAGAGCGGATCCCTCGGGAGGGTCCCCCGGCGCCGCCGTCCTTTGCTGACAGCGGGCGCCTGCGGAGGAGCAAAGCCTCTCTGCCTGCAAAATATCTTGACCCTCCTACGTGGCGAAGTGCTCGTTACTATGGTGACCATTCGCCCCCCCCCCCCCCCCCGCCCCGGTCCCTCGGAGGCAGCAAAGGTTTTGCATTTAACCTTCAGGCGATCTCGGTGACAGCATCTCCGATTGTCAAGCCACAGGTTGGTGAAGGGCTCCTGAGGCCGCCTGCAAGGACACTGAAAGACCAACCAAAGCCCGGCGCCAGGGTCTCCTACCTGTAGTCCTGTCGACCCAGGAGGCTGGGGTCAGAGGATCCCACAGTTCAAAGCCAGCCCCCGACAAGAAAGTGAGTGAGACTCTTATCTCCAATTAACCACCAAAAAGCCGGAAGTGGCGCTGTGGCTCAAGTGGTAGGGCACTAGCCTTGAGCTGAAGAGCTGAGGGACAGTGCCCAGGCCCAGAGTTCAAGCCCCACGACCGACAAAAAATAATAACAACAATAATAGTAAGTACTGTTTATGAAGCCCTCTCCCCTTTTTATCATATATCTTGGCTCCTTTAATCCTTACCATAGCCCTGGGAGGAAGGAAAACATTCCACATTATATGGGTAGGAGTCTGATATTTAGAGAAACGGAGTGACTACTAAAAGATCTTGCCATTATAGGGGGGGTCAGGATAGGTCTGAAACTCCTGGACTGATTCCCAGATTCTTTCTGCTACATAAAATGCGTGTCAGAAGGCGTTAGAGCATCTCTTAGCCTCTGCTTTTGTTGTAAAGGCTGTTCTAGTCCAGGGGAAAAAAAATGCATAAAAATGAGACATGCTTCTAAACATTTAGGAGGTTAAACCAGGGCTTGAGATTGGCAAGGTGAGAGGAAAGTCTCATCCATAGAGACAAGCTCCAAAGAAAGCACTATGGTCCTCCCCCTTATATGACCTTCAGAGAACTTTAACCTTCAAGAAGTTCAAGTCACACACCTTCACATACCCTGGGGACCAGAATTTTAGCTCCAAGACCATTTTCTTTTTATCACTTAATTATGGCTTCTCTCTAATTTGAAATGCTGAGCAGAAGGAAGAAAACAGAAACCTTTCCCATACATGTAGATGAGGAAAAAAAATGTTGCTTTTAAAGATGAACTGAATGGTGGTAATATTAGGTAGCACATTATAGTTGTTATCTTCTGCTATTAGTTTGGGGCCTTAAGCTTGCTAGGTGAATGCTATATCACTGAGCTACTGCCCCAGACTTGATTAGGGGACTTTTGCATGGTGTGTCTCCTGCTGTCCCTTTCATACCTAAAATAGTGCAGCAAATAGCAGGCACTCAATAAATGATAGTTGAGTGGGTGAGTGAATGAATGAAAGACATTTGATGAGGTCTTCTAAGTTTAATCAAGTTATTTTAATCCCCATATTTTTGTTCTCTCTGTCTGTCTCTGTCTGTCTATATCTCTGCCTCTGTCTATCTCTCTCTCTCCATCTCTTCAGGCCAGCCTCAAACTCTTTGTGTGGGTGTGTGTGTTTGTGTGTGTGTGCACGCGCGTGCACACACGTATTCTTGTGTCAATACTGAGGCTTGAATTTAGGCCCTTCTTGCTCTCTTTTGGCTTTCCTGCTCAGGGTGGCACGCTACCACTTCAGCCACACCTGGTGGCTAATTGGAGGTAAGAATGTCTTGGATCTGTCTACCCCAGCTGGCTTAGAACCTCAGATTCAGACTCCTGAGTTGGGAGGATTATAGGCATGAGACACCCATGCCTGATTTAACCTCAAACTCTTGATCCTCCTGCTCTCTGCTCCTGAATGCTGAGGGCACAGCCACTCCTCTGTGGCTTATATCAGTCATCCATGGTTCAGAGAATACATGTATTGGGGGTTCATCAAAGCCAGGCACTGTGAACAATCTGGAGGGTTGTTGCTTGGAGTAAGATGTATGTAACTCCCAGTTCAAGAAATGAGAGGGTGGGTGGGGATAGGTGAGGGATTTTTTTTTTAAATAAATGTTAGTTTGACAAGAAGGGTAGAATCAATTCGATTTAAAATGTATTATTACCTGCGGACCTAAGATAAACCCAAGTGAAAGACAGCGAGCACACATCTAATCCTATTCCCAGGACAAAACCTTTGTCTTCTTGGAGTTCAGCCAAGGTGCAAGACAAGTCTATAACAAGGATATGCTTTTCATCAATTTTGAGAGACTGCCATTCATCTAATCTCTCTAAAGCAGGGTTTTCTAACTCAGCATCAGGAATTATTATGTTGAATATCCAGAGAAAGGAGAATTGGACTGCTGTAGTTTTTTTTATGATATATTTTTCTTACTTTTGTTTTTATTAGTTTCTTACTCTGATAGAACAGTTGATGTAAATCAGGTGCCCGAGTTTCTTGTATTAAAAATGCACTGAGGATTATCAAACTCTCCTAAAGTTGTTGGGCTGACAGGCAATATATTTTATAGCTCATAGCTCTGTGTGTGTGTGCGCGTACACGTGCGTGCACACAAGCTTTCGTACTAGATCTTGAGCTCAGGGCCTACCTTGGTGCAAGCCTTTTGGTTGTTTATTGGAGATAAGAGTCTGCCCAGGGGGCTGGGAAGGTGGCTCAGTTGTAGAGTGCTTGCCTTGCATGCCTGGGGCTCTGGGTTCGATTCCTCTGCACCATATAAGCAGAAAAGGCCAGAAGTAGTGCTGTGGCTCAAGTTGTAGAATACTAGCCTTGAGCTGAAGGGCTGAGGGACAGTGTCCAGGCTCAGAGTTCAGGCCTCACTATCGACAAAAAAAAAAAAAGTCTGCCCAGGCTGGTCTTCAATCATGATCCTCAGCTCTCAGGCTCCTGAGTAACTAGGATTATAGGCATGAGACATGACACTGGCACCAAGTGAGACATTTACTGTTTGTTGTTAAATTGTAAATATTCTTTTTTTTTGTCAGTCATGGGGCTTGAACTCTGGGCCTGGGTGCTGTTCCTCAGCTCTTCAGCTCATAGCAAGCACTCTACCACTTGGCCACAGCGCCACTTCCAGTTTTTCTGGTGGTTAATTGGAGAGAAGAGTATCACGGACTTTCCTGCCTGGGATGGCTTTGAACTGTGATCCTCAGATCTCAGCCTCCTGAGTAGCTAGGATTACAGGCGTGAGCCACTGACACCCAACTCCTGTTAGTATTCTTTATACATTCTGCATATCAGTTCTTACTGCATGCATTATTTTGGAATATTTTCTCCTAGTCTTGGTGTTGCTGCCTTTAGATTTTACAAAGCACCTTCACACCTCTTGATTCTTAAATCTCAAATAACTAGGCATACGTTTAGACTCAAAAGAGGTTAAATGATGTGTGTAGAATCAGAAGTTAGCCCACAGATGAATTCAATAAACAAAGCCTACAAAGTCAATTTTTTGGAAGGCTAAAGAGAAGTAGAACCGTGTCTAGAATTTAATTTCTGTTTGGGTTTAAAACCTGTTCTTTACCTTTAGAAATAAAAGAGGAGAGAGAGAAAAGGAGGGAAAAAAGCCTTTTGTGTATATCATGTATATTGCCTGGGAATCTTTTCCTTTTGAGAACTTATCTTCATGTGACACTCCCGTATAAGAATATGACATACGTATGTTCAAGTCCAATCCTTAATCCTACCAGTTTCCCACCATCTCCACCAACACTTATTAATTTCCATATTTCTAAATATGTAATAGCCAGTGGTTACCAAATGATATGCCATTGTTGCTGATTTTGTTGCAGCTTATTTTTGTTGTTTCTTTTTTTTCCCTCCCTCTCTTGTCTATTTTAATTTTCTTGTTTAGTAGTAAAAACATATGAAAACAGGCTGTTTCTCCAGACTCCATTCATCCCAATACTGCCTAGTGAGCACCTATACTTCTCTTCCAATAACCATTAAGCTCAAGCCTTCAGAATTTCTTCCACCTGCTGCTTGGTCTGCATTTGCCTCCCCAAAGCTGAAGCGCTATCTAGTGGCAGAATCCAGTAACTGCAGGGGCAGCTCCATTTTTCTCTCCTTTAGGTCCTGACAGTGTTGAGTATATTTTATTTACCTAACAATACATGCTGTTGACAGAAAGGCAAGGTTCAGGTCTAGTTCCTAAAAAGGGCTATTTCTACAAATATCATATAGATGAGCTTTCACCCCAAAAGGCAATGACCCCTTTATTGTGCCCCTCCTAAAAGAGAAAGCTTAGAAAAGAATCTGATCTTTCCAATGCAACTGGTTTGTTAAGCACTCTGTCCAAGAAATTGTTTTCCTTTCTTTCAATCTCTTCCTTCAATCACTATGTATTAGATTTCTCTTTTCTGGCCTTAAAAAATACCCCAGAGTGGAGTGCTGGTGGCTCATGCCTGTAATCCTAGCTACTTAGGAGGCTAAGATAAGAAGATGGTGGTTCAAAGCCAGCCTGAGAAGCAAAGTCCATGAGACTCTAATCTCCAATTAAACCTGAAATGGCTAGAGAGCTAGCAAAAGAATTCAGGGACAGTGCCTAGGATCTGAGTTCAAGCCCCACAAACTACAACAAAAAATGAAATACAAAAGAGGAACAAATATCACTCCTCAGAAAAAAGAGATTAAATGTTGTCATTGTTTATAAAGAATGGGTCTATAAACCTAAAATCTCCAAGAGACTGAACTAAAAGTACATTAAAATGAACCAGAGTCCCAAGAGATA